TAGAAAAAAAAAGAAACCATAACAATTGAGCCATGCTTCATAACTGCAAGACTTGTAGTTGATAATAAAAACTAAAGATGAATTTCCTTATTATTTAAAAGCTTATTATAAAATTTCATAATCAAAGCAAAATACCAAATTCTCTAGCAACTTTTCCTGGATGACTATTTGTAAGTTACTCTGTTTTGTTTTTCTGTCTTATCAGGTCCTTTGTTTCCTACACAATGAGTGTAATTGCTGTTAATTTTGTTGTGCCCTTAACAGTCATGTTTTACTGTTATTACAATGTTTCCCGGAGAATGAAACAATATGCCAGCAGTAACTGCCTGGAGAGCATTAACATAGATTGGTCTGACCAAGTAGATGTGACAAAGGTAAATGAGTGTGGGGGTTTCTTTAAACGTGTTCTTTTGTGTTAAAGTCTTAGGGGCAAAGGAACAGTGCAGCCTTTTAAGCATTTCTGTTTCCTACGTTTTCCTTTTTCTTTCATACTAAATAACTGAAATTGAGCCTTGGTGTAAACTCTTGGCTTGACTTTTAACATTAGAGTCTTTACTTTTGGTCTAATACTCTTTCCAGATGAATAGCTACTTTAAAGGCTGGGAACATTGTGAATTTTTCTTGCCTGTGCCCTCTTGTCATTCCTCAGAAATATACCTCAGAGGTGCCCTAGAAGAATTTTTACTCTCTGTACCTGCAGAGTCCTTAAGCTTTCTGCTAGGTTCCCAGGTGTATTTGGTCTGAAAAGGATTGGTCAACTCTGATTTGAACTAGGAATGAAAGTGCATTTCTAGCATTCAAGCTGTGTGATTCCAATCCCTTGTTCTTTTCAGTCTAGTGAGCTTATCTCTTTCTTATGTAAACAGAAGCAAATGTGAGTTATGACATGAAATGAGGTATCCTGCCTGGAAGGTGGACATTCTTTTAATGTACAAGAGTCCTTGAGAAATCTTGAAGTTCACTAGCTCCTTTGATTTTGTGTAAAGATGTGATTGATGGTTGGGCATGATGAAAAAGTGAGAGAGAATTGGACAGAAGAGTATGTACCTATGTTTTTGAGTTCCTTATCAATGCAAACTTAACATTCTTTAGAAAACTTTATTATTGCTAAATTCTGAAAATAGTATTTTTACCTAAAAAGAATAAATTGAGCATTTTGCTTTTATGAAGAATTTTCAGAAAGCTTGAAACTGAGGATTCAGTTAAAAATTTAGACTCATGTTTGTGAAGAAAATACATTTTTCTGGGTTTGCATTTGAAGACACAAAGTTATGTTTAAAAAGAAAAAAAGATTGAAGCTATGGAGCTAAGCAGTATCCTTCTGTATATTTGGACTGCTTGCTTTTCACAAATTAGCATCTTCTAAGCTTTCTGTGCACCAAACTTCTAAATAAAAGTGTTATTTCTAACATTATTATCAATGGGTATTGCATTTGTATTTAAATAGGAATCTTCTGTGAGAGAGTCACTGCTTATTTGTTGGTTATTCTCTAGAACAGCTCATACAAACTAGCTGTTTACTTCTTGTTTCTTATTTTGTTCATCACCAAAAGGCTGAATAAACAGCACTAGGGAATCCGGTACGTAAAGAGAACCCTGCAGTTTTGTTTGGTTTTCTACTGGTTTGTTTTGTCCTCTTGATTTGAGCTTTCCATTCCAGTTTCCATTATTGATTCATGTCCATAACAAAAGCCAGAGAAGTCTGTCTCAGTTGACACTACGGTAGCCTCCTCCACTACCGCAGTTTGTTGCTGTCCAGGTTTAGCTGTGGCATGTTGTGTTCTGGTGTGTGAGCCCCACCATGCCCAGATTGTTCCCTCTGACAGACAGGCAGAGAATATCAGATATCTCCTCAGTATGATACTTGAACATGGCTATAATTCTTCATTAAATCAAGCAGACACTTCTGGGTTCCTTCAGTATAGGTCCTAGAGTATTTACTTTCTTTTATTTCACTGTACCATAGTTAAGCCATATGAAATGTTTTTATTAACAGCCTAATTAAACATATGGCTTAGATTTTTCTCTCTGTTCATATTTATTGTTTGTAATAGCATCCCTGAGTGTCCTGCTATGGGGGTCATAATTCATGTGTGAAGTTGTCTCTGGTCATCCAAACTCCTGATGGAGAGATTTAACAAAATCAGTAGTGCTGACTTTGAAGGAAGATTGTACGTAATGAAATGACAGTATGCCAGATACATGGCAGTGAAGTGTGCTATTAAATCCCCTACTATTAAAGTGAGATTTCATTGTAACCTGTCAAAATGTGTCAGGTGTGCTTATTCATATATTATTTCATTCAGGATAGATCTGTTTTCACACAGCTGCATGTGCTTTTGTTATGAAGTTATGAGATCTTCATCTTGAGGTAATACTGGTTATATGTCTGTTCCTCTTGTTTTACAGATGTCTGTTGTGATGATTGTAATGTTCTTGATGGCATGGTCTCCATATTCTATTGTGTGTTTGTGGTCTTCCTTTGGAGACCCAAAGAAAATTTCTCCTGCAATGGCCATAATAGCTCCTCTTTTTGCAAAATCTTCCACATTCTATAATCCCTGTATTTATGTCATTGCAAACAAAAAGTAAGTGTTCCTTAGTACCAGTCTATTTCATGATTTTAGCATATCATCTGACTATAGAAGGATCACCTGTAAAATATGACAAATGATTAGTGAAGAGCAAAGGGTAAGCCACTGTTAATTTACCAAAGATGACCTTTTGGACAGGAAAGTCTAAAATAAATTGTTTTGATCATCCTCAGAACGTACTGAATTAATAAAATATTTTTGAGAAAACATTAACATAGCTTTTATAAGAGTTTTGAAAGTCCCTTTGTCTTTTCTCAAGAGGATGCATTATGGAATTTGGGTTGCATCAGTAGTAGACTGGTTTTAATGACTGTGGCCAAAATGTGTGTGGCTTAGTGACACGTTACTTACCAAATCAAACTACTTCTTGTTTGATTTGGAATGTATCATATTCTGAGTTATTAGGATGGATTGACCCTTTTCATTAAATTAAATAGGTTAAGCCTATTCCAATTTGAGCAAGCATAACACATGCTCTAATCAAGCCAGTGCCTCTGACTGAGGAGTGGGCTTTGCCAAGAGGCATCCTTCCTTCCTCTGCTACCAACCTTCAAGCAGAGCCTGTGATCTCTGTCTGGGTGAACTTACCTGATCCTGCTGAATCAATGAAAAAAATCTGGGTTTCTTCCCTTTCTATAAGTTCATCTTTGTCATGGATGTATCCTCTCCTGGGATAAGCAAAAGCTGCTGTGATCCCTGTTGTAGAAGAAACACTGAAATTAATTGTATATTCCTGTACATGGAAGTGAAAAAGACCCAGATCCTTTTGAATTCCAAATACACGTCTTTTATTAAGTGAGTTTGAAAACTATTGTAATAATTAAGGCTATCTTACGCAGCTTTTCTTTGCATTTTGTTCTCCAGCTAATGATATTTCTGTTTTTCCTTTCTTGTCCTTTGCAGGTTTCGGAGGGCAATCCTGGCAATGGTGCGATGTCAGACAAGACAAGAGATAACTATAAACAATGCTTTGCCCATGAGTGTATCTCAAAGTGCATTGACATCATAGAACTCCTGTCATTTGCCTGCATAAATTACGTGGAAAGGAGTGAAATCTGGGTTAAAGCTAATTAATCTTTTGGAATAATAATCTGTCCCAGCCAGCTGTTTTTTGTTAGTCACAGTAATCCTTTTAGATAAGTTAAGAAGACAGAAAGACAAAACCTGCTAAGACTTTAGTTTTTGAAAGTGAGGTTTATTCGCCCAGTATATGTGTCCCAAATGAAAAAGGCCTCTGTGACTCTTACAGAGTTGGGCAAGGCGACAAAGGGGCGGGGAGAGACTGAAGCAGGAGGTGCTTAGGTTCAGTAGCCTTAGATTTTACATTTGTAATTCCTTTCATGAATTACTTTCCACCAACTTCCCTTGAAAGTTTTCCAGACTTGAAATGTTCTGGATTCTCCCTATGGCTGTATATTTCCATACCAAGTGTCCATGTTGATATGCTTTGCAAAGGTCTGTGAATATGTTAGGATGTCAAAATATCTAGCCAAACGCTATAGAATCTTTTAACAGCTTTTAGGATTTTGAAGGAGTTTCAGGATATTTAAAGTATTTTTAAAATTTTGACTCATAGAACGAAATTAATTTGTAGGAAAGAGAGCTTTTTTTTTTTTTTTAGTAGCATGTTTCTAGTGCTTGTGACTGTACAGCAAATCCTGAAAATGAGACAAAATGTACCCTAAAGCTCCACACTTGGGAGGCACATAACACTGAGTAAATGTTGTAAATGTTTATGGTAATTTCTCATCACTTTTAAGTCAATCTTTTGGTTATATAGGTCTGATGTGTAATTTTCAAGAAATACCTTTGGCAATATGAGCAATGGATTTATTCAGGATGAAGAAGATGACTGTATAAATCTAGCTTCTGTGTGTGCATCTGAAGTTTGGTTTTGCAGTGTGTAACTTATTTAAATATATGTGTATTTTTGCCAAAACCTGTTTTTATGGGATTTTTTTAAAAGCTGTGAAATCCAGGCTTCCTATTAATTTGTAATTTTTAGTATTAAAGAAAATGCCTCACAATATCCTCATGGTGTACTAGACTTCCTTCAGGAACCTTGGAACACTTTATAGACAGTAACTAATGCACCTCCTCATAGAAGAAGAAAAAAAGAGATATTTTATTACACACAAGTTCTACAAACTACATATTAACATAGTCTTAAAACACACTGGATGTGATTTGAAGCAGTGTGTGTTCTGACAGAGTAAAGAACGAGCTGGTTTAACTGATCCCATTCAGGATACATTTGAAGGTTAAGCAACTACAGATCTCGGCTAATCTCTTGTAATCTGCTGTTACTAAATGGATGTCTACATGCACGTTCGTAGCACACTGCACATGAGTGCTTAGGAATAAAGTTTTCAAATTTTTTCATGTCAGTTCTGCTGGGAGGAAGCCATGTATCTGTTTATTTATTTCTACTTCCTAATGAGCTTTTTTGAAGAAGTTCTTGGTTTCTGTCCTTCACAATGCACTTGCGTTTACCATGGCAGAAGTGATGGCACTGGAACAAGGTATATATTTTATTATTTGTTATATAGGGCAATTTATAAGAAAAAGTGTTAAAGAAATTGGAGATAACATTCTCATACATTGCCAAGTAATTCTAGAATACTTGAAACAAACACATATTTTACACTGATGTTCTATGGCTAGCAGCATTCCTGAACAGGAGCAGATGGTGATTATGGCTTTGTACTTGGCAAATAGATACTCTAAATCTTCATTTTTTGCAGAAGGCAATTTCTTTCTGCTCCTTGATTTTCCTGCTGTTGTAATGTCCTTTCCATTTCTACAAACTACTTAACTACTGTAAGGTGGCTCTGATTTAAATAAAATACAGTAGTTTGTTTTTTTTTAATCTAGAGTAAATCATGTAATTTTTGACAATAAGGAGGTTAATTTGAAATGTGGTGACCTGGTATTATCATGTCAAATTTAGGAGGTGCTCTTTGTCATTGCTGCTTACTGTCACAGCCTATCTGGTATAAAGCTGCATGAGGAAAAAGTAAAATAGAGGAAGAATCTAGAGAAAAGGGGGAGAAAATTAGACTTACTGAAGGCAGGAGAATCTTCAAGCTAGTATGTGCAAACAATATACCCCAAAGAATTGAAAAAGTATACTGACACCTGAAAATGCTGAGAAATCCATTTCACTGAAATCAATTGGAATAGAAAGTTCTTAGCATCTCTATAAAGCAAGTAATTCATAAGTAGACATCAGAAAGAGAGAGAGAAAGCTCTTCTTTACTCAAATATGCTTTGGTATATTTTGAATTATCAGTCTATTCTGAAAGGTAAGTATAGAAAATGCTTTTAATCTTTATCATACAGAAAAATTAGATTAGTAATCCTATATTCTGAATTTTAGTAAATTAGATGACATCCAGTTCCCACCTGAGACACATGCATGCATTATTCCTTATACAAGGGCTTCTGTTTTTCAGTTGTCAATAGAGTGAGGGATGCACAGAGGACGGTGCTTACATGCTTTAGAACAAAGCAAATCTAGATTTCATGTGAAAGAAGGATCTTTTCTGTTTTGTATTCTTTTTCTCTTTAGAGACTCCATGTTTGTGGAGTTTGTTCAGCTTTTAAATGCAGAGGGTTGTCCTTCATTTCTGGTAGTAGTGTTGCAGAAAGTAATAGCATTTGCATTTAACTCTGAAATTCAAATTTCTGATAAATAAATGCAATCCTTTTCTTTTTTCTTTTCCCCTGGTGCTAGGTCTGTACTCTGTAATGATCCTGACATGTATGAAATCCCTGTGAATGTTCCTGTGGATACTGTAAAACTTCGAATAGAGAAAACTGTCATACGAAGGATTCCAACTGAAGCCTTTTACTACCTAGTAGATCTCAAATACCTGTGGGTAACTTACAACTGTGTAGCCAACATTGATATCAGCAGCTTTTATAACTTGAAACTACTGCATGAGTTACGGCTGGATGGTAATCTGCTCTCAACTTTCCCTTGGGAATCACTGGCAGAGATGCCCAACTTACGGACTCTTGATTTACACAACAATAAAGTGACCAGCATTCCCGCTGATGCTGGCCGGTACCTGAGAAACCTCACCTACCTGGACATATCCAGCAACAAGCTAACCACCTTGCCATCAGACCTGATGGACATCTGGCCCCCCTTCTCAGGAACTGTCCTGTCCAAGAACACAGACATTCTGGTGACACAGAGAGTCATTTTGGGTATGTTAAACAGCCTCTCTTATTCCTTATTAAAATGTACCTAAATGTTAAATTGCAAGTGAGAGCAGATGGGGGACCAGCCTGGGATTCAGGAGAGTGGGTTTTATCCAGGTCAGTCTTCTGGTTTGCTCTGTGATTATTTATTTATTTATTGTTGGTGACAGAAAACCATAAAACGAAGATAGTGACCTCCATGTATGTTGATATCTCACGATTATAAAACTTGAGAGAATCCAGTCTACGTGAATATGGGCCATATGGAGTATTCAGTAGCCATATAAATACAGGACTTACACAGTGTTTCTGGTGACATTTCTGTCATCTCTATATGTGTTCTCAACCGCGAGCATGTCCATTTGCGGCTGTTTTTTCCCAATGGCTCAAAAGCCAAGCAAGTAGCTAGGAGCTGATGCTCATATAAAGCCTGTCCTGTGACACAGTGCTGCAGATAGTGTTGGTGGCTCAAAAAAGGGCAACTCTGCTCTCTCCAGGACCCCTGTTGACCTTGCATTGTTTTAAAGGTAACTGATTATCCTGAAGTTTTTCCCAATTTACATATTGAATATGAGAGAGAGAGTAGGAAACTGATCCCTACAACTTCAAGGTACTTTTTAGAATTTTTAAGGCAATTAAATTTAAGAATGATTTGGTCACACTCTGACTTTTTTAATAATTTTATCCATCTCTCTATAGTACAATTATATCCGTTCTATTTGTGGCCTTGTGCTGTATCTTACACTTTCTCTCCACTTCTTAGTCTTACAGGTACTCCCTTTCTCTTCTGCAGTCTCAGAATTTAGCTGGAACAGTTCTATCAACAGTGTTCTTTTCTGTCACTGTTTACATATAAGTGCTTGTTTTGACTTTTTTTGTAGTGTAGCAAGTGGAAGGGAGGAAAACCAGCTGACTGTCTCTACTGCAGTAGTTCTATAAGCACTGGTAAAGATCAGCTCTGTGTTGTACTGCCTAGTATTTCCAATTTCTTGATCGAAAGCCCCACTATTCAGTGTTCATTTGTTCAGCTGTTTTGTTTCACAGCAGAAGCTGCAGTTTGAAACTCTCATTTAAATGAGATTTTATATAAGTGACTTAAGAGATGCAAGTAGGCTGAACAACTTATATGCATGCAAATTGTAGGTTTGCAGCATTAAAGGGTCTTTGTTTATTCAGGATTAAAAAAAAAAAAGAGAGAGAAAGCTGTAAAAGTAAGTCCATCTCAGCACTCCTTTCCCTGTCCCCACACTGAAGGCTACAGGAGGCAGTAAAGTAAGAGCTGACTGTGCTAGATCTAATCCTCCTCGTGATCTGATGAGGGAGTCCCAGGGGTTAATTGGTTTCCTTGTCTTACACGGCCCTCACCACTTAAAAAATAAACCAAAAGAAACTAAAAAAAACCCCAAACACCACACCCTCCTAGCATCTCCTTCCCACTCCCCCCCCCCAAAAAAGAAAAACCAACAAACCAACGGAAAGAATAAACACCAAAAAATCCTAAACCCACACGCACACTTCTCTCTTCCCCTCACCCCTGGCAACCATCTGCATGCTTCCTTAGTGCAGGCACATTGCCAGCCTCCTCTAGTCCTGGAAAACCCTCTAGTGCCAGCATTGAGTTCTTTAGAGACCTGAGATGTGACCTTTGGACCATTTTCTGTTATGAACTAAAAATGGGTTTTAACACAGATCTCCAGAGGGACACACGCTGTGAGTTTAAACAGCATTTTGCTTCTCTTTTATTTTTTACTGTTAGGTGCTAAGGAAGGTGCTGTGCAGCCATTACAGATTTGTATCTGAGAATGCAAAATGCCAGGTAGTACTTTTATTGTGTTGCGTTGAATAAATCTACCTTATGTAAGCTATGAATTAATTAGCTGAATTTTTTTTTGTCGTTGGCATCATAGCTTTCTGATGAGTATATCCCACTGAAGACAGACAGTGCTTGCTACATAATAAACTCTGTAGTGAGTAAGACAGTCCCCTTCCTCTGGAGATTTGACAGTGCAAGGCTCTTTATGTCATGGATTATTTTGACAAATTTACTTAGTCTTCACTGGGTGCTAGTTTTGTTATATGTATTGCAAGTTGTAGTTACAGCACTCACACTCACTGGCACTGTTGATGGACTGCTACAAAGCAGTTGTTTTTCAGGAATGAATGGTTGATAGAAACTATCAGACTAGAAAGATCACTTAGGAGTTGAGATGTCTCTGTAATGCTCCAACCATCTCTAAGGAGAAGTTGGCTTGTCTCTGACACTCCTGTCTCTATGTGTCCTGTTGGAGCATGAGGGAGAAGAAATGTATCCCATAGATACTCTCCGCCTCCTCTGAGTTGGAGATAAAGATCACAGAGATATGTGATCAGGAAGGATCACATAGGATGCAGATCCAGAGGAACTGAGCCCTTCTGGTAAAGTCATAGCTGTTCTTAAAGCCTGTGTCCAGACCACCCCCATAGCCTCCTGTGGTAACCTCCTCCAGTGCTTATCTATCAGGATAGTGAGAAAGTTTCTCTTAATATCTAACCTCAATCTCCCTTACTACAAACTAAGCTGATTACCTCTTGTCCTACAGGAGATGGACATACAAAAAAACTAATTACCATCTCTCATAGTAATCTTTCATGTTTTCCTTCCCTGTTTGCCATCCTAACTAATCACACAGATTTTTTTTCACCAGTTGCTAATATAGTTAAAATAATGTGAAGGCTTTTTTTGATTGGTGGGGGTTTTTTGTGGCTTTTTTTTGGAGGAGGAGGTGGAGGGTGTTTCTCATTTTCTACCATAGCTATTGGCTCCCTTTGGACTCCTTTGAGTTTTAAAAAAACACGTCTCCTAAAATGTGATTCCCACAATTGCATGCTTTCATGCTTTGATGCTCAAGACTGTCCTACATAGTTCAGCTATTCTCTGTGAGAGCATTCAACCTGACCTATGTACCTACTTAGAATGGTAACTGCAGCCAGAACTCTGCTAGAAGGTGGAACCCAGAACAAACAAATACTGTTTTTGTCTAGTCAGGGAAGCAGCAGTCAGATTCTAGTTAGTGTAAGCAATTGTGTCTTGAGCTGTCATCTCTCCCGGTTCTGGCAAGATAAGATTGCCACTTGTATTTCGTTAACAAGATCAAAACCAGCAAAGCCCCAAATTCAGATGTTTGTGCATATGTATTTTCTAACACCAGCAGGCAATTTTGTCTTCAGTGTCTTCACTGAGCATCAAGAAGGTTGCAGGTAAGAAAAAGTTCAGGTTCCTCATGTTTTTTTTAAGGACTCTTGGAGGAGCCAAAGACTACTGCCAGGGGACTGACATGTTAGCATCTCCTTATTCCAGTTTATAATCTCTGCACTAAGAGGTTTGGATTTTTTAAATACCTCCCTCTGTATGATGTTCCTCCGTGTGTGCACTGTGCTAAATGAAGGTGGGTTAGGGAATGATTCCTGGCCTTACGGCCAAGTGGCCCACTCTGGTTCTCATCCAGTTTAGGACCAGCTCTCTTTAAAGCTGGCTCTCCATTCCACATTTTGTAATACTTAGCCCTTGGTTCTCTGTGGGCTCTACAGGACACTGCAGTGACTCTGAAATGTATTTCCGTGAATCAGGGGTGCTTTTCCTTCACTCTAACCTGCCTGAAGTAATGTGGGAATTGCCTTCAAACCATACAGCTGTGCTCTTGTAATATAAAATAGCAGGGGTATGTTGTATGCCTTATGGAATGACAGGGTGATAGAATAGTTAGGAGGTGCAAAGCCTACTGCACTTACATTGGGGGCAACAACAGGACAGAGAGAGCCACCCTCGGTGTGGTGTCATCCATAAGCCTTTCAGGGAGCAATCCTTGGAGTTCAATCTGTCCCTGGAGCTACTTCTGGCTTTGTCTTGGAAATGCCCTTTGGAACAGCTGAAATAAAGCCGTGGAGTGAGCCGACAATTAAGCAGTGCAAATGATCGAGGGAGCAGTGTGTGAATTCTAGCCCTCTCTTGGTTACCTCTGGAGCCATAGCCTAATACTTTGATCCAAATCACAAATGAGTTTCAGCACTGGCTGCTGTACAGAGATTGACATTTCTGGCGTGAATGATGGCAGTAGCATTTTCCATATTGTGTACTCTGATGAGTCACTGAGAGGAACAGAGGAATCCAGGATTTAGTAGAGTAGCAGTTAGACGAGATGTTGCCTCTGTTGCACGTAGAGGTGCCAAAAATTTGGAATGCTGCAGGTCCCTCAGGCTCCCAGCTGGGCCATTGGATAGATACTTCTTTTCCTGAATATACTCCCTAGCAATTGCCCTGTGCAGAAAACACTGCAACACAGTGTTGGATGTGGACTTTACTGTTTAGAACCATGGACCAAAATTTGTAGCTTCAATGGGAAAGAGCCTTGGTTGGGTTGGCCCAAGCTGTGGTGAAAATATCTATCAGCTCAAAACTTGAATATTTTGCATCTTGCCATTTTGCAGCAACTGAAAAGCAGTTACACAAGTTAAAGTCTGAGTCTGGTTACTGATTTACAAAGTAAATTTTGCTCATAGCTATTTCAAATGCTAAAGTCCATATTGACACAGCACGGGGAAAACACTGCTTACTGAGAAGACTACAAAAATGTGCATGGACATATACATGTATTTGCTGTTGTACATGCAAGCATACATATAAATGTGTGACAGTAAATATAAAATATGCTAAATCTAGAAAGATAAAGGTTTTTAGAGCAATTTATATTTAATATTTAATGTTAAAATAACACTGCATTGGTATATTGCAATGCATAAATATTTATCTATATTTGTTTTGCCTTGGCTAGTATTTCTTTCTCAGATCAACAAGCTGCCTTAATATTTCTACAAAAGAATTCAGCATTTATAAAGATTTTCATCAAAAACATGTGCCATTGGAGACTCATTATTTTTATTTTTGCTTCTTAAGTAATTAAGGGGATTCCATCTTATTCCTTTATTAAAGTTCCCTATTCTTTTCCATTTTCTTATTTTTTCCCCTTTTTAAACTTTTTCTTTATTCTTTCACATGTTTGTTCTCACTTCTACCATATTGTAAACACAAACTGTTAAATTTCAGAATGCCCCTCATAGTTTGGAAACTAGGTTTACATCCACATTTCTGTTCTCTCCAATATCTAACTGAAATATAATCAAATTCAGTGTTTATCTTTGCTTCCAACTCACTAGTGCTTTCGTCTTTTCATTTTGGGAATTCACATGACTTGATGCTTTAAAATGGCTAAAAATAATGTGAATGCTGTCAGATATTGGCAAGACACAGGTAAATAGAAGGAATGTGCTGTGGAGGCAAGGAAGGAGCTCCTGTAGCTGTATATGTTCTCTGTATTTATGTAAGTCCTGCTTTTTAGCCAGTTCCACTGGGAAGCAAGATGGATGGGGGAGATGAACTGGCTAACTGATGTAACACTCACTTTGCACTACACACAGTAGTAGAGCCGTCTGGGACTACAGCTTTACTCTGAAGTTAAAACCAGGATTTCAGAATGACCTGAGATGGCCAAAGCTGTGTCCCAGACTGGACTAATCAACCATCCAGTCTAAGGACTGTTCATCTTTTCTTCATCATTCCTTTTATTTCATCAATTTTCGATACTTACTTTAACAACTTGGGTTTTCTTCAGGACACTGCAAGAATAAGAAAGCCATGTCTGTATAAATATTAGGAAAAGTTCCTTCACTGAAAGGATGGTCTGGGGAGTGGTGGAGTCACCAGCCCTGAAGGTATTTAAAAGACATGTAAACGTGGCACTTAAATACATGGTTTAGTGCTGGACTTGGCAGTAATGGGTTAACAGTTGGACTTGATGGTCTTAAAGGTCTTTTCTAACATAAATCATTCCATGATTCTATTTCAATAACAACTTTTGAGCACTTCGAGTAGATTAGAAACAGTAATAAACTTCTTCCTTTCCTGCAGTAAAGTTTGTAGGATGCAGAAAGCTGGCAGAAATATTTTCTATAGCGTTTAACATAACAGAGAATTCGCTGCCTAGTATGCGGGAGGGGAGCTCTGCTGATGCTGCAGATCTGTCCTGATTAATGCTGTGGGCCCAGAGTTCCTGCTCTGCTCCCTGCTTGAAGCACAGCTGACCCCTGCTTCTGTCCTCTAGATAGCACAGGGGCCATGCCAGGAGTTGACAAGCATTTTTCTCATGCAGTGTTTGCTATGGAGGAACTTCAGCAGTTGAGGCCCCTTGTTTCATGGGAATCCTGCTTTCCCTCTTATACTTCAGGGGAGTTCAATATTCAAATGCTCATATAGTCTATTTCTAAACAGAGTGAGGAAAATTGACCCCTTATAAGCAAGTGAGAATGAAAAAAAAAAAGAATATTACAGGAGTATTTTCTCTAACTACAAGCTTCCCTAATTGAAAAGATGAGCAAAACTAATTACATGCATGTGCTCGATTGAGCAGAATTTTTATAAGCACAAACAGCTGATGTGCCTAGATATGGAAAACACACTTGGATGGCATCTCTTTTCCTTGTGAATTTATGTGTGAAGATAATGGGCAAATTTTTATATTTTGGAGGTGTTTGGTTTTTTTGTTTGTTTGTTTGTTTGGTTTTGTTTGTTTTTATTTTTGTTTTTTAGGAAAAGCAGTTCTGATACAGTTTCCTTGACTTCTCCTTCTCTGTTCTAGCAAGCAATAAGTAGTGAATAGATGTAAAATCTCTTCTGTCTGGAAGGAGTGAAATTGGATTGTGATGTCAAAGTCACGGAATCTCTTCAGGTCAAGTCTTGTTTTAAAGAGTGGGGATTAATTGAGATTCACCACAGTTTTAACCAATCACTACCGTTGTGCTTAAAATAACCTAATCTTGGTCTGGTGATAAAAGGAAGCAGTAGTTAATTATTCATGTATTCTTTCATCTGTACATTTTTTCAGAACAAAACAAAGCATTTTTCCATTATCTGTTTTGATAATTCTTAACAATACACGCAGCAGGTGTTTCAGGCTTTTTTTTTCTTTTAATATTGGTTTGACTTTTCTGTTGAGCTCATTAGTAAATTAAATAGGGAGGGGTTCTTACATACTATCCCTTGTTTCAGACTGTATTTATTATTAGTACTCAGATGAGAAAGGTATGCTCAAAAGTATAAGTCAAATGAGAAAATATTTGAATACATGAATGACATGCTGTGTGGCATTTTACCTGGTGAAGTCACTGTTGCTCTATGAAGGTCAACATAGTGGAGTAATAAATACCAGTTGAGGATTTAAACTGATATTCCTTAGAAATGGATATTTTCTTTCAACACAGTACGTTCATAAAGGTGGAGAAGCCTCTCATTTAAAGACTGGAATCAAGAAGCAAATGTTATGGCCTCTGACAGAAGAGAAAGAGAGTTCTTGTGTGCCCTCATAAAAATATTGTAGTCATCAGGAGGTTTTGTGGTCCTTCCTATTTTTTACCCGTCTGCTATTCTTTTTATGAATATATTGCAAAGGCTGTACTAAATTGAAGCCAGACTTCTAACAATATTGTTATTTAGTTCAGAGCCAGATAAGAATTTTATTGGCCTAAAACTTTAGCTTTTATCCTTTTTTTTCCAAGGGACAGAGATGTTGACGTAAACTCTAAACCCTTAAATCATCATGTTCTCTGCAAGCATTGAGAAAAGGATCCTAGAAGATCAAGATGTAAAAGCCCAAACAAGGACCAAGAGCAGAGGAGAGTGACAGGAAACAATAGTCCTGAGAAGCTGTCTTTCCAGAAGGCACAGGCAGGTTAAAATGTATTGTCAGTCTCAAGACATCTTTTCAAAGCATTTTTTCCTAGATAAATATTAAAGTTAAGCAAAGGTAGTGCTACTACATTACTATGCTCCTGTAAACTTCTGTGAAGAAAAGGTCTAGCTTAATAAACATTCACACTGTTCTTCCTCACCTCTGAAAATACTCCCCCACCAGTCAGCTGAACAAAAAAGGCAAATTGAAAGAGAAAAGATTAACTCAGAATAGGTCCACAATCGTCCTTGATTGTACTTTGCGGTAGTCATGCATCACACTGTAACCACAATATCCATGTATTGCCTGACAACATTTTTTTCTTCCCCCTCTTTCCTCCCTGCTTCAGGTTTTCAGGACAACCCATGGTTCTGCGACTGCCGCATTTCAAAGCTGATTGAATTTTCCAAAATCGTGGACAGCTCAGTTGTGCTTCTTGATCCATTGATTTCGTGTAGTGGACCTGAGAGCCTGGCGGGAATCTTGTTCCAGAGAGCTGAGTTAGAGCAGTGTCTTAAACCATCTGTGATGACATCAGCAACAAAAATCACTTCCCCTCTGGGAAGCAATGTTCTGCTGCGCTGTGATGCAACTGGGTACCCAACACCACAGCTTACCTGGACTAGGTCAGACAATATACCAGTGAACTATACAGGTACAATTGCTCTTTTATAGGAAATGGGAGAGCCAAACATTTTTGGGTTGCTTGTGCTTTGAGATCATTGTAATGAGTAACAATGGACCTTGCACTGCATCAAGTTGGCAATTGTATCTGTGCAACAGCTGTTATGAAATTCTTTGTCTAGTTCTTGGTCTTAACAGGTCCATCAGGCTGTTTTGATTCTGGATGTGGTGTATAATAACAATGTGTATGGAAGGGAGAAATGCATGAAGCAGGGGAAGGATAAATTAAAATGGAGATTGGGTTAGTTGGGCCCTAACTCAGAAGCTGAAAAGCAGAAAGGAGAATTTGTTGCTGAAATTTCTGTTTTGTTTCAAAATGTTCTTGTTAAAAAATCCATAGCTAAGCCACTTAAATCTCAGCTTTGTAAACACGGGATTTTCCAAATTCATGTTTTCTACGTTATTTGCAAATTTTTCAAGGCTGTCATTATCTGATATCATTCTAGCTGCCGTGACAGATATTTATGTAGTAACTTAAAAGTAAAAATTATTTCTTACTAATGCCAAGTGGTTAGCAGTTATCATAGGTCTGAAGAAGGTAATAGTCCAGAGTACTGAAATATCTTAAGATAAAGGTAATTTCCAATAGTGTTCTAAATGGTCAGTATGGTCAGTGTCACTTGAAGTCAGTGAGATGTATTTAAGAGTCAATAGCAGCTTTAAGACATTTGATTTTGCTTTATGTATTTGTGTTTTACTTAGTGAAACTGCAAATTATGTTGTAATTACTCCGAACATTCATTTTCATTTTGACCCAAGCTGATTACTTTTATTTAATAATATAATATGACTGGGAATTCCATAGTTTGTGTTGGGAGTTTGATTTGGTTTTGGGCTTTTTGTTGTTGGTACTGTTGTTTTTTTGTTTGTTTGTGTTTTGTTTTTAAAAGTTTAATATATGTGATTCCTTTTGGCAGAAATAACTTAGGGGAAGAAATAGTCTAATAATGTTTACTTTCTCTTTAACTCCCATTCATAATACTCTTTGCATTTTTCTGTAGTAATTCAAGAAACTCCTGGAGAGGGTGTCAGATGGTCCATAATAAGCTTGACAGGAATTTCATACAAGGATGCAGGAGAATACAGATGTAAAGCCAAGAACTTGGCAGGAATGTCAGAAGCTGCTGTTACTGTCACAGTGGTTGGTGTAGTTACTACAACTGTGTCACCACAGAAGTATGGAAGGAAGCAAGAGGCTGAGAGACAGAACACAACTCAGGAGGAATCCAAGCAGGAACCCGAGACGACAACCACACCCCTTGCCACTACACAGAGCACAACCACAGCACTGGTTAGCACTGAAAGATCAACGAGCATCATGTTTGCTGACAAGAAGCAACCCAGGCCCATGTTTGATGGAAAGAAAAATTCAAAGGCTGTGACAAATGGAAACAAAAAGCAGACTGGGGAGATAAGCAACAAAGGTGAAGACACTCCATTGAATACAGCAGGTATGCCTGAGCAAAACATCACTGTGAAGAATCTAAGAGTGATCAGTGAAACTGATGAAAGAGTGACCTTAACTTGGAAAACTGTCAATGCCACAAGCAACTCCGCAGTGACTGTATTGTACTCCAAATACGGTGAGAAAGATATGTTGCCTCTGAGCACTGATTCTAACAAAAACAGAGTCACAATTGATGGTTTGCAACCTAGTACTCAATATATGGCATGTGTCTCACCCAAAGGTGTGCCACCTACAAAAGAACAATGTGTTATTTTCTCCACTGATGGGTTAAATGATGAAAGCAGTTCTGAGTTTTCTATTCTGATAGTGGCCAGCAGTGCAGCATGCGTGGTTGTTTTACCTTTGATATTTTTTTTACTCTACAAAGTTTTAAAACTTCATATGAAACCAAAAAGTGCAAAGGAAGCTGACCTTGCAAAAGAAACCTATGTGAAATTTGAAACACTATCTCTGAAACCTCGAACAGTGAGTGCAGGAGAGCAGCTCTGGGCACGGAGGTACACCGATGAGTCGGAAAGACTTCTCCTTTGCTCTAGGTCAAGCATGGATTCTCAAATGACCTTCAAAAGTGAGGGTTCTAGGTCAGAGTATCTGTGTTGAACATGAGTGAGGGTGGAAATGGAATAAACAATAGGTAAAATTATTCCAAAATGATGATACTGCATCTGGAAGCAGGTTGATGCTAAGTCGTGGTCAGAATATGATATCTGATATAATACAGTCTACTGGATGTGTAGAGTGGTGAGTAGGAGGGAGAATAGAAGAAAAATATTACCTGTTTATTTTCTTTTTTAATGTTTGTGACTTTGGATGTGAAGGCATGATGTTCTTCAAAAGATAAATACAACTTTGAAATGGTTTCCTGGTTAAAAATATTCTATTTCTTGTTTTTATTAAAATGTTCTGTTTTCTCTTCTCTCATTTTAACATATGATATCCCAATTGCATGTATCAAATACTAATCACAATCTTCAAGAAAGTGATGTACTTAAAAATAGAAGGAAAATAGTTTAAACTACTTCTATTGTGGTCAAAACTTTATTTGAAAATACAAGTTTTTTCTGACATCAGCTTGTGCTTTGAGATGTCATACAGGTCTGTTTGTACAGTATCTTGGATTGAAAGTGTTCTCAGGTCAGTGAAGACTGAAGCTACGTAGCCACAGTGTATGGGCTCTTGAGAGGTACAATACACATCATGTTGTCATTTTGCAGATGCTGTTGCAAAGGGCAAAGAAACTTCTTTAGTATTCTGAAGCTCAGATAAGATATTGTGAGTAACTCTGAGAGAGACACTAGATAATCATGTTATTTTACATCAGATGATCTTTTTGCAAAATCTCAGCCTTAGAATTTTCTTGGATGCATCTGTCTATATACCTCAATTTCAGAAATCTGTCCAGAAAATTTCGTGGTACTGTGTAATGCCACATGAACTCTTATAGGACTATATATTACACAGATATTGCACAATATTATGTACTATGCTTCAGTGATATAATACATTTTGAGATACAGTAAGGGGAGGTTTTGTCCCCAGGTCATGCTGGGTGTGAGGTTCAATGAGCACAGTGAAAGTTAATTGTGAGTGTGCTTCCTAATGTTTAAAAATTATGAATTAAGAGTAATAAATAAATTCAGAGTTGCCTATTAATGATAACAATGAATTGTCTATTCTGAGGCTGCTTTTTTGATGCCTGAAGTAAATAACAGAACTTTTATTGTTTTAGATTCAGATATTATGGTTAGAAGTATGTATGAATTGTGAACCACAGTTTTTCCTAAAAATTACAACTGTGTTGTTTTCTTGGACCTTTCTATGCCTAGAGGAACTATTTGTTTTGCTAGGAAATAGGAAATTGTAATTTTCCAGAGGGAAAATATTACTCAAAGCTACAAACCAAAGCTTAGTTTGTCAACTTCAAAACAGTGGCATTTTTCGATGTCACTAGTGTAGGATTAAATTTTGCCTGCTGGAATGCTGATGAGCTTATCTTGTAAGGCATAGATTAGTGAGAGGAAAACAGTTTGTCAAAAAGCGTCCAACATAAAATCATGGCAGGAAATGAACACACTGAAAAACCTCCATAGTATCTACACAATGGTGTTCAACAACCAGGACTAACAGAATGAGTATTTGAGACTTTGGGAGCTGTGGTAAGGAAGCAGATGAGATGTTCGAAAGTGCAAAATTAGCTTACCTGCTTAGAATTCACCTTGGTGTTCCTTTCCATGGTACTAGTATGTGTGGTTAAAAATCAACCTTTCTTTATTTTCAATGGATAATTTTGACTGCAGTGAAAATGGGTTTAGTGTTCTAAGTGGAACATTTTACTTCGACTTTTTTTTTTTTTAATTTAGGATTTTTTTAGGGAAAGCAGAGTCTTTTTGTGTCAAAATCAAGGTTCGTCTGACAAGCAGTTAATGATAAACTGAGATTTTAACAGGATCTGAAGTGTTTAAATATTTGCCTTCTTTCTTCCTTACAGATAGTATAGCTGGTAGTTGTTGAAGATGTTTCCAATTAAAAACATCATGTTTGTCATTAAGGAGAGCAATTGTACTAACATTTATTTTTTAATTCCTGGAGAATATTTGATTTCAGGTTTCAAAGCTCTGCAAGAAACCTGAATCTAGTTCTGGAGTTCAAAAGTGCTATTCACCTGACTTGTAGGTGATACATCAATATATAGAACTGAGGTGGTGTGCAGTTTGTTTGAGAGAGCTCACTTGTGAATGTAAACCTTTTGGTTTGACTAATCCTGGCGGAATTAGCATGTCCTAAAGTTAGAAATTAATCATGGACTATCAATATATCAAAGATGGAGTTCATTATAAAGGGCATGTTCTTTGAAGAAAACATGAGATACACGGTTTTTCCACAGTTCTTGAGACAAAAGAATTACATAACCCATATGCTTCTGTACCTCATGTCAAAACAGCAAATTTGCTGAGGATTTTTGGCAGGAATTTGGTACAAAGGCCAAATCACACAATAAAAGCATGTGCACTGCATCACCCAGGACTGGTTTAACTAAAGAGCTGAAGAAATACTTCTGCTAACAGATGCAATTTTTTATATTGTCAGTTGTTAATGATGTGATATAGGTTTTGTCACCCACAATAATTTGTATAATATCTTCTGAAATGCAATACTGAATCAATCATCACTATGAATAATGATGACTATAGTCTATATTTGCCTAGTAGGAGAATTTGTAGAGGATTTAATCAATGTTTATGTATCGCCTTTCATATATTTTGCACTTTGTTAGCTCAGTTCATCCTGCTTTTCACCAAAAAGGTTAGACCTCTTTTTATACGTTACATGGGTGTGTCAAAATTGGATGGCAAATGAAATAACTGAGTAATGTGAGCTGAATTCTAAATAGAGCTCACTTTTACTTAGAGCTTTAGTGGGCCTTAGTACTTAGCATACTTATCCATAATCTTGGCTTCAATGTGCACTTACTAAGCTAAACTTAAGGCATCCATGCATCTATTTTAGTCCTTGCCATTGCTCACAGTGGATTTTGTATTCCTTGCACTATCATCGGATTCTCATACTTTTCTCAGACAGGAAATTAATTTCATGGATACCATGAAAATGTCTGTAATAGCAAAACCATTCAGACTTGGACTACATCTAAGAGGCTAAACAAAGGACATTTTAAACTCATTACCTTTTCAAAGAAGTAATTAAAATAGAAACTGTTTTGATGTGAAAATAAAAAATTGTTTTTATACAAGACACTGTGTTTGCCTGACCCTTTTGTCTTTGTTTATAGCTTTAGAAAATACGTGATGAGTGTAGCTATGGGGACAAGAAGAAATGTAAAAAGAAATGAGAATACAAAAAGAAGGCTGAGAAACAACAGAAGGGTAATATCCTAGAGAATGCTGTGACTGTGTGCCACAAAGTCTTTTGCTTGCAATTCTGCTGTGTACATGGCAAGGGTGCTGGGGCATCTGCAGACAGGTAGCTGTATAAGGATGGATGAAGATACTGCCAGCTTATTGCAATGATTGGAGCTCTACATGTGCCCAATTTCAACAAGGTGGGGGGGCAGCTATAAAATTGGAGTGTGGAACAAAGGCACCAGGGGAATTTGAAAAATGTACTTGAAGCTGTTCCTAAAGTCTGCCTGTGTCTCAGTGAAAGCTGTGAAAGCTTTTTGGAGGACATTGTCTTTAAACTGAAAAAAGGGAAGCAAGTAGCTTACGAAGGTATTGCATCAACAGCAATTCCGGCTAGACTGTGAAACCTAGATATAATATACTGTCATCCATTGTGATCTATGGTTTTCTTTTGAAAATAACCAATTTGTTAGATTTGTGGCTAGGAGGTAGACCAATTTGAATTTCCTTCATGGTCCCAGATGAGATTTCAAAATTAACCTTTTTTAAATTATTTTATTGGGTGTAGACTGGAAACAAGCTGACCTGGATGCCTTCTGTCACAGAATTCATTGCATTGTTCTAGGTGTAGAAAGCCACAGAAGCTTCAGGTTAGCACTGTCACTTCCCTTTTTGAATATGAGAAATTTTCAGTAGAATAGATGCTTTCTCTTTTCTTTACAAATCACTGAAATTTTTTTCCTTTGAATTTCAAAGGATCAAAGTTCCCTTCAGAGTGGAGGCATGATTATTGTGTCATTTTTATATATCTGAAAGACTCTCTTACTAAACAGTGGGAAAATCAAGCCGAAATGTCAGTCTGAAATATCCTGTAGCAAGGAGGGATTTATTTTTTTTTTACAAAGCTGTATTAATAATCAGTATTCAAGATAGTATTCTTTTCAATCACAAAACCAGAAAGCAGCTATGAAGAAAGGGATATAATATTTCCCAATATAGAAGTAAAAAATCTGCACTTTTCCCCAATTGTCTATTTTTTATGAAGTAACATCCTAATCTTGTGTTTGGAAAGAATGTGGAATTGCTCAAATTATTGCAGCAAATTCAGTAGCACCTGTCAGGTATATATTTTAAGTATATTGTTCTAACTTCAGGTCTGGTATTTTTGAAAGACACTTGATTGGCTTAAGAGTATTATGAAAGGATGACTGTACAAACAACTATAACCAACCTCTCATACTAGTGGAATACCAGTTTACTGATGATGTGTGAATATCTACATTTTGCAGAAGATGCTCTGACAAGAAAATACTTTATTCTAAAATACGGTGAGCAATCAAATATTCGGCACATCTTTTTTAAGGAGGTGTCAAAGGAATTCAGTCATGGTGTGAGTTTTCTTTTTTTTTAATAATGTTCTTTTATGGAAGTGACTCAGGTGACTGAGAGAGGACTTGGTGGAATGCTTATGCCTAGAAAAGCACGTTGTTGAAATGTGTTGTCTTACTCTCTTTTAATACAGGAGAAAGGAGCTTTATGTGTGTGTGTACGTGTATTGAGGGCAGGAATAGAATATTCCAGGGTTGTTGCCTCAGACAGAATTCAAGCAGTTTCTTCTAAGGCTTTTGGTATGGACAGCTGGTACTTGAGAATGCTACTGGACTTGATGGAAAGTAAGAACAATCCAAAATGACAATTACTAGTAGACTCAATGCAACTATAATTTGTTGCTTGCTCAGTCAAGTAAACAAATGCTCTGTTGATGTATTTTTAGTCTTTTCATTCATTTAGACATGCGGTTGTAGGAAACCTTTGGCATCCTCAAACAAATTTTCTAATACTTCAAAAAGTAAATTTACAAACAAATCTCCAGATCATGTTCCTGCTTTACTCTTTCTCACTTATTCTTTCCAGTTCAATATTGTTTTGGAAAAGAGGAACAATATGTATAGTCTGCTTTGTATTATTTTCCAATCTCTAAAACAATTACACTCTTGTCAAA